AATGGGCTAGCAAGGCTTTTTTAGCACAACTTCAAAGGCTCTGGCAATGGAGGTCCTTTGTGAGGGAATTATCTCCTGCTCCTTTGTACCCCTTTATCCTTCTAAGCTGTGGAACAAAGAATTGTGAAATGAAGAGACAAAGTAATTTGTAGTAGATCTCTAGACCTAGATAAAGTACATAACATTTGCTTAAAAACATTTTTTCTGCTTCTGTCATCAAAACAAGGTTATATTTTTCTATGTAGGAACACCCAAGTTCATTTAACTTTTGAGAGATGCAACCTTATGCTTAGGTATGCTATTGATGGAGGTCACCAGAGTGTCTGAAACAGTAAAGGAGAGCTTTAGTTTCTGTGGTCAATTAGAAAATACATGGCTGTTACTGTTAGAGTTGGCTGAGAACTGTGTTTCTCTCTGACTCAGGATATTCCACTAAGAAAGGAAGAAAATGTATTTTTTCAGCAGTGTGTGTGCGTGCAGATGCTTTAAGGAAACCATGTATTTGTCACCTTTTAGTAAAGAAACAAAGTGGTTTATTCTTTCTTTCTTCCAGTGAAAAATGAAACCTTGGGGAGATAAGGAAATACATTACATGCATCTGCTTTGTGTAGTCCAATGCACAGTTCTTAATTAAAAATAAAAAAGCAAACCAGGGATGGAAGGTGTTTGATTAATGTTAGCAACCATGCTGTATAATGTGTTCCTCCAGTGTCTCGAAATAGAATCTTTTGATCCTCTGTCTCGAAAAAATAAGACATGAGTGAAAGAAGAATAGCCTTGGCCTCATCAAATTTAATGAAGAAACACCCCCCCCAAGTGCAGTGAGCCATGCTAGCCACTCCACTGTGTTTGTGTTCAAACTACAAAATGACTCTGTGTTTAGCACTGGATCTTGTCCTCTAGCAAATCCCAGAAGTATCTCCTTATCCTTAGAGAGTGAAGGGACTTCATCCATGCCTTTTTTTGTGTGTGTGGTTTTTTTTTTTTTCAATCTTAAACTGTTAGGAGAGGCTGTACTGCATATCTCCATGCCCAAGTACAGACTTTCACTTCAAGTCCCTATCTACAAAATCTTTTATGTCTTCTTTCTCTCCTCTTCCCATACTTGCATGGATTTCCCGAGGCAGTTGGTGTTCTGACCTCTTGGATCCAGTTTTCATCAGCTGTCAAGGTAAATCTGGTTTATACTGCACGAATAGTTTATTCAGGTTTAGACTGAAGAGGGAATAGTGACGGAGAAGCAAGAGCATTCCCCTGTCTCTCTAATCTGTCTGATGTCTCTAGATGCGCTAACTTTTCAATAGTTATACTTTCTTGATTTTTCTTAATGAAAATTTCCAGGACAGGCAGAGAAATTTTTTAAAATATTTAGCAGCAGCATATGCACACACACATATATATAAAGTTCATTTTTTTTATATCTATAAATAAAAAGTAAATCCACTGATGTTATAAAAAATCTGGCAATTATTACATATTCTGTTTGCACATATGGGCAGTCAGAGGCAGGGATTTGATATTTTTCATTGATGCTGAGGTTAATTATCTTTAATATATGGGTTAAATTGGTTTTCGTTACTTACCATAAGCTGTTAAAGGTATTATATTGTTGTCAATATCTAACAAGTGAATGCTTATCTCAAGTTGTATGTGACCAAGGAGAGTCATTTTATGTAACAAATTTCTCATATAGGAAATTTTCCTGGATTTTAAAACTGGGAAGGAGAAAGCCAAGACATTTCTTCCAGGAATTCTTTAACCCTGCAAGTACAGCAATGACACGAGGGTGTTTTCATGTTTCACTTTACCCACCTGCACTGGACCTCTCAAGTGCCACAACAGCATTACTGTGACGTAAAATAAACAGATCGATACAAAATCAATCACAATGTGTGAATTCTGACTGAGCAGAGAAGTTAAGACAAATGGAAGTCAGAGCTGGTCTGTATAAAAATCTTCTAATCAGCTGGAAAGGATGTATTAACAGGGCAATCTGATGGTGAGACAGGTGGTGATGTATCCAGATGTACATGGGATAATGCAAACAGGAAAATTTTAAGCAGAGTCTAAAAGTAAAGCTTTGCAAAGATCTGCTCGTCCCATTTCCTAGTGGTTGTTAAAGCTTAAGGCTCTGTTGATGTATGTGGAATGGAGAATTATTTGGGGGTCAGCCTGAAGTTGGCTTTTGGTTTTGATTTTTTTTGTTTTCATTTCTTTTCTCTTGGTTCAACCAGGGCATTGAAAATATTTTAGTATGTGTTGAATTGTGGACCTAAAATTGAAATAACTATGTTCACATTGAAGTTTGTAATAAGGATTTTCATTTATTCAGGGATTTGGAGTTTGGTGGGGTTTTTTTAATGGAAGCTGGTATTCCTTCATGTTAGGAAAAGCAAAAATAAAGGAATAAGCCTTGAGCTTGGAGCAGAGAGTAAGAAGATTTGTGATACGGAAATTCAGTCCCTGGTCTCAGAAGAGGTCCTGGGGACATTCATTCCCCACGTGGGTGGGTTTTACCTTGGCAGGAACCTCCTCTGTTCACCATAATTGCAGTCCAAATCCAACACACAGTCGCAGAGAACTGGAGGACAGCTCCCAAGAGAAAGGCTTGTGGCAGAGGACGGAACAGCTCACGGTGACTTACCCTGCAGAAACACGCATCTCACCACACTTAGGTTTTTCTGCCATCTTGCACAGCAGATCACCAGTCCAACGAGCTAGCAGCTTTCATCATGGTCTCCACACAGAGGGCAGGAATGGGAAGTGCAGGAGGTATCACCTTTTGGTCTTCATCCATCACTCGAAGGGACTCACGAACTTTGCTGAGGAGCTGGCATTGTTGACAGCCCTACCATTTTATGGATGAGGAATCAGAGCTGTTGCATAGTTACTTTTTTTTCCTGGGTTTAAAGCACTTAAAATTGGGTTCTTTTGTACTGTCATGATGTCAAAGGTTTGCTGGATTCGGGACAATTGTTTACATTAAGAACTCTCTTGGCATTTAAGACTACGGTTCAGGGAAAGTAGAGCATTGTACTATGGACTCAGAAACATCTCTGACTTTGACACCTTTGACTTTGGTTCCTCAGTGTCACTTTGCCAGTGACAGAATGGGGACCTTTGTTTGCCTTGGCCACTGCATAAAAAACCAGGATATGATCAAATCCAGTTAATCACTCACAAATGTCTCATTTCTTGAATCTCTGAGGCTGTGTAACACATTTTTGGGACTGCTTTCTGCTCCTTTGGCTTCTGTTATAAGTAAGTTAGTCAGGGGAAAATCAAATTTTGAGTTTTCTTAAAAGGAAGTGGAGGAATCCTGGAACACGCTAGGGCTCTGCAAATGTACGTTTAATCATTTAAAGAAATGTCTTTTGGCTAAAAGCTCTTACCAGTGCTTGCAAGTTGCACTAAAAGCCATACGACTACATCATTCCCACAACTGATGCGAATTAGCGCCCTTGTTGGCAGTGAGAGCAGAGAGATGCAGGCTTAGTGAATACTAGGGACTGAATTACTCTTAAATTCATAGCAACTTTATGCAGTATGGGTGAAGTGTCCTAGGGGTGACTCTGCTGACGGTTACACCACCTCCTTACACAGTGGCATGCGTGGAGAGACTCAGGCATGTCCTGCCTGTCTTGTTTTTTCTGTGCAAAGCATTTGGCTCTGCTATGGAGCTGGGCAGTTACAAACATCTCCTGCAAACAGTTACACTGTGCTTAAGGCAAGCACACACTCTCTAAGCAGCAGCAAACCAGAGGAGTATGTTTTTACACACAGCACGTGGTGGAACTCCCTGCTGCAAGATGTCATGGGGCAAAAAGTACATGGAGGCAGAGGCTTGAGCACATTTGTGGCAAATTGGTCTATTCAGAGCTGTCAGTGAGATGCAATGACCTGGGTGTAAATGGGGGTCAGCCAGCCGTGCAGACCTGGAAGCTAATGGACATAATAGAGGAGGATTGTTCTGTCCTTTCTCAGTGTCATTCATGTATATATTTATATACCTTTAACATTCACCAAGGGCTACATTTGGAGACAGGTTACTGGGATACATGGATTTTAATAAACCTGTTAGTGGACTTCTTGCCTCCTTACTTTATACATCTAACCCATCCTGAAAACAATGTGGGACTCTGGCAATAAGTTGAAAGCTTTGGAGGGATTACACTGCCTTATTGAGTCTGTACTCAAAGCCCTTTGAGGGCTCCCATTGACTCCGGTGGGATTTGGTTCAAACTCCCTTAAGTAAACTCTTTCAAGGCCTGTACATGCTGCAATGCTTATTGGGCTCTTTGTTACTTCTGTGAATAAGAATGCGACCTTTAAACTTCTAGGAAAGAGCCCTGGTTTACAGGACTAAATCTTCCATGTTTTGGGAGAGGTAAGGTTACCATCCCAGCTCCTCCCAACCCTGCTGTGCAGGTGGCTGAGCAGTTGATGAAGCAATTCCTGAATCACTGCTGTTTTAGGTGTGCAGTACAGCAGCTTCAGAGCTTCTTCCTAAGCAAATGTCCATGAACAGTGATGGGCAGGGTGGACATCTGGGGTTGTAAGTTGTTCCAATTCATGAATCAAAGCCCTAGCAATATTCTTTTTGCCACTGCAGGGTCATTCTGATACCTATGTTAGAAGTTTATTTAGTCCGTGCACATACTGAAAGTGTGCATAGTGGAAGACGAGACTAGCAATTCATCTAGGTTTTCTTTTATCCATGCAGTCCCTTGGCCATGTGAGGGGACGGGAGGGGTAAATAAGATGGAAAAGGACTGTACTGGGCTGTCTCTTCCTCTGGCCATTGCTAAAGGCTGTAGTGGGCTACGTGGTGAATAGCTGAGTCTGAATTACAACAAATTGCATAACGTGCCTTTCTTGCTTTTGGAGCTGGTCTAGCTTCTGGTAACCTTGCCTCTCAAACCTGTTGTTCCAAGAGGAGAAACTCAAGTGAGTGAGAGGAGCAGTTTGATTGACAGTGCTATTTTCTACCTGTATTTTAGGTCACTTCCTGGGTAACAACACTGTGATTGATGTACTGAGACAAGCAGGATTTGAAGTGGAGCACACCCCTCCCGGACAACCAATTGGAAAGTAAGCAGCTGCCCGCAGATTATTCATCACTTTCTCTCCTTTTCTTTTTTCTCTACCTTTTTCAGTGACTAAGCAAGATTATTGCATTAGTATAGGAGGTGGGTGAGGGGGTGAGGAACCTCCCTTTCCCACCCCAGTTCCAGACAAAAAGTGCATTGTAAAGCATCCATTGTGTGAGTTTGGAAACATATGGAGCTTCAGTGGCTGTTTTTTTTCACTTGGGGACGTCATTCATATCACAGCTGCTTTGCTATACCAGATCAGAAGTGCCACAGTTTCTTTCTGTTTTCAAGAAACGTACATCTCATTTTCCCCCATAGCTGTTTGGTCTTTTTCTCTCCATGGGATTTTAGTTGCTTCTCCACTGCAGGGCAGTACACTGCTACCAACTTAATTTTTCAGGCCTCTCTGTCAGGCTGCTCTCCTTCAGTCGGAATTTCAGTTTTGCCTGAAGTGCCAGATTTAATGTAGCAGATGCACCTTGGAAGATGTGGTGGGTAGGTGAAAAGTGATTCAGTATTCCCTGAGCTTCTCCTTCTAGCTGATCAAGTAAAGCAGGCAGGAAGGATTGATTACCAGGCTCTTGGCAATCTTCATTAGTATAAGATAAAATATGGCACAAAATTGTCCTCAGTTGGTGAAACAGACGTCCTTCCTCCCCTAGACTGTTCTCTTTCCTGGCCATTCAGATGAGGTCTCTGTCTAAAAATATAGACAATAAAACTGGGAAGGATGGTGAGAGACCATCTAGCTTTGCAAAGTTAGCCTTTCCCCTGCATTCTGCAGATAAAAATTGGCCAAGATTACTTTGTCATAGGATTGTTATCCTCATTAGGAGAAAGTGTTAGCAGCATGCTCCTGTCCCTGGTGGGCAGACATGACATGGTCCAAATATGAGGTGAGTTTCAATATGGAGGATTAATCGCAGGGCTAGCAGACCATGTCTGAAAAAGCTATGTTTAATATAGTTGGAAAATCTGGCTGATCTAACCTTGATTGTGAAACATCTACAATGTTTCATATAGACTATAATATGGCTCAACTGTACATAAGTGTCTTTGACAGAGCATTTATCCTAAATGCTTCTTGGAATATGTTGAGCAATAAAAGCACAGTCTTAAATAACAATGGGGAAAAGAGGAAGAAAAAGCTATCAAACACAAGGAAGAGAATATATTCAGAGGAGGTTTAAGCAGCACTTTGGCAGAGGGAGAAAAGTCAACATGGCACAGGGAAGAGCAGTAAACACTGTAACTGACTGGAGCTGGAAATTTTGGCCAAAATCAACAAAAATGCCTCTGTCTAAAAATACAGCAAAACAGAAAAACCAAGCAAACTATATCAAAACAGCTGAGGTATATCGCTCCTAGGTTTCTAACAAAGAAACTTTCCTCTCAGGGAAGCAGGCACTTTTCTCAGCAATTTTCATTTAGTTGAAAGTATCATCTTCCCATGAAAAGTATTTCAACTGGAAATTGTGAAACCATTAATTTATTGGCTGTTTGCAAGCCCTTGAGAAGAAAGAAAGATACAGTAGTGTGAGAGATGTCCAAGAATAGTCTCTGCTCTTTATGGTCTTGGGATATGTCTATACACGTCATCACAGACTTGAAATAATGTGATGGGGCAGGAAACTTGAAGCAAAGTCACTGCTTAATGTTGACTTATTTGCAATATGGGGCACCTCTGTGTGTGCATTCCCCTACCTTGGCCGCAGCGTCTCTTGTTCATGACGTCTTCCCTAAAATTGTCAGTCCCTGGGGGAAACGTACTTGAAAGCAAGTGGACTTGGACTGCTGCCTAGAACGAGGCATATGTCCTCAGTTGAATTATCCTGCACTTCGTAGCTTCTGTTCCCAGCTCCAGACCAGAGTGTTGGGCAGGTTGGTCCCTTTGTCTGGACTAGTATCCTAATTCCAGTGGGGTCTGTTCTGAACATTGAACATAGAAAGCTTTATTAAAGGGTATACTGTTGTGCATGAGTACTGGATTGAGTTAAGAGTGAGCATATGGTTGTACTCCATAAAGATTAGATGCTCTGTATGTTTTCCTGTGGTCTGATGATAAAGGCAGATCAGCCAGTTTTAGATGAGAGTACAGAAAGAAAAATAAATGGCATGGTAAAGAAATCCAGAGTTGCCACTAAATTGCATTACTCAAGGTGCAGAAAGAGTAGAAGATTATAGAAAGTTTAAATAAAGAGAATTTAAATATATTCACAGGAAGCAGCTTGCTGCCTTTAGAAGAAAAGAGACTCCCAGACCTGCACATCAGGGACTGTATTTTCATTGTCCTACAGCTGGGGCTGCAGCCATCAGAAGCGCTTGGGGCTCCCCCTTAGAAATGAGGATGCTACTGCAAACCATTTTGTCTCTCTATTTTAGAATAGCTTGTATTTTATGATTTCTGGGCGAGCTGCAAAAGACAGTCTAGTCGAACACAGTTATGACAAAGTTGATGGCGTATTCAGAAAGCATGGCCAGTTAATTCTTGTGATGTTGGGGTTATGTTGCTGTAATTGAGAGTCTTAAGGAACCTTGCATTTTTGTCCACCCTTTTTTTTTTTGCTCTCCTCTTTCCTTCTTAAAAGATGAAATAAAAACATTTGAAAACAGTTAGGCCCAGAAGAGAAACTGTTTTGGGATAGTGGCTATACTAACCACATGTATACATAAACAAGTAGAAGCTCAATAAATTTTGATCTGCTTGCAAGCAGAAATTGTTTTAAGAATTATAGAGATGCAGGTGTTTTCCTCTTGATTCTTGTGGAGCCATACATGAAATAAGAAGTATTTCTTTCCTCTGCTGAAACCTAAAAGAGACATTTCTGCTTTACTTCCAAATAAGTTGTATACGGGAGTGAAGTCCACTGCATTGTATTCTGGCACCGACAATTGACAAATTGGATAGTGTTCAGGGAAGATCAGCTGGACTCTAATGTAGAGGTTGGTGGGGGTGGACTGCACATGGAAAAAATGCAAGGGTTGGAAAAAACTGAAGCAGCTGCATGCTTATATTTTGGCCAAGGGAATTCAAAAAAGGATTGTTGTGGACGGATTGTGCACAGAACAAAGAGGAACAATTTGAGCTGGCACATAGGAATGGTTAGAGGTATATCGTATTGAAACTGAAGGTGGTTTTGGCTGAATATCAATTATTTCTTGACAGTAATTTGCAGGACAGTCTTTCTCAGGTTAAGTCAGAAGCCCCATTATTTGAAATGATTAAAGTAACTTTAGCAAAACACTACTTACCTACCAATGTTGCTCTGCCAAAAAAGCGAATAGTATTTTTCTTTAATATCTCTGTTCCTAGAACAGCATGATTATTATTATTATTATAGAAATGATTGGTAGTCTGATCATTATTGTTCAATAATAATGAAGCAGTGGTACCATAAATAGGTGGAGTAGTCTGGTATGACGTTTAAGCTCTGCCATCCATTTCAGTTGCAGAAAGGACAAGAGAATACTTTTTTAGAAAATAACTAGTACTGTTTCTGTAT